TCACATTTCACCCTACAATTCTGACTGCATTATTGCCGCAACTCTCCTCGCCGCGACAAGCGGTCCGTAAACGCACTATAGTAGCGCTGAGTCACCTGTTGACGTCCAGCAACAATTATTTATACAACAAATTGCTGGATCATCTTCTCGAGGGTCTTCAAACTCAAACGACGAAGAACGTTATACGTACCTATATCCAGTGCATTGCTTCTATCTGGTCGGTAGACAATTTGTATTACGTGCGAATAATTGATAGAGGGGAACAAATTACCATGTGACGTGTCTAAATTTATTGCAGCCGGCAAGCGGGCCATAGATTCGGCGAGCAAATAGAGCGCGTTATGCCGTTGATCGTTCAATACAGTAACGAGGACGACGATGAATTGAGAGAATACTGTTTGCAGGCATTTGAATCTTTTGTTTATAGATGTCCGAAAGAAATTACGCCGCACATAAATAAGGTACATAAGTTGAATCCATCTTATGCCTTACACAGATATTTATATATTGTTTACTAAAATCTTTGATCTTTTAGATTATAGAGATCTGCCTAATGTATATTACATACGATCCAAACTATAATTACGATGATGATGTCAACGAGTTCTCTGATGGAGAAGGTGCCGCAATGGACGTAGAAGAAGACGGAGATGAAGATGCGGAGGATGAATATTCCGATGACGATGATATGAGTTGGAAAGTTCGTAGAGCAGCTGCAAAGTGTTTAGAAGCGGTTGTATCCAGTAGAAGAGAGTTATTATCAGACCTTTATAAGGGAGTTTCTCCTGCATTAATTGCCAGGTTTAAAGGCAAGTATCGCGCGTATTGAATTCCGAAATTTGTTTATAAAAATGCAAAGAAGGTATCTCCAGTTAATTAAGAAATCTTGTTCATGATCCAGTAATTAATGAAAATTTACTGTAATATTGCAGAAAGAGAAGAAAATGTTAAATCAGACATCTTTCATGCATATATCGCTTTATTGAAACAAACGAGGCCGGCTACTGGCGTGGCGCTCGATCCTGACGCGATGGACGATGACGACGGGCCCACTTCGTTGTTGCAACAACAAGTACCGCTAATAGTGAAGGCAGTTCATCGTCAGATGAAGGAAAAGAGTATCAAAACGAGACAGGATTGCTTCTCTTTGCTGAAAGAACTGGTGCTCGTTCTGCCTGGAGCTTTAACTAATCATATTCCAGCACTGATCCCCGGTATACAATATTCCCTAGGAGATAAGAATTCTTCCTCGAATATGAAAATCGACACTTTAGCTTTCGTGCATACGCTATTGGTGACGCATCAACCCGAAGCGTTTCACGTTCACATGCCCGTTTTGGCACCTCCGATTATACTAGCAGTGGGAGATTCGTTCTACAAGATCGCTGCCGAAGCGTTGCTCGTGTTACAGCAACTTGTACAAGTTATCAGACCTCACGGTAAGTCATTTTACATTTCCGATTTTTATTTGCAGTCGTGGATACAAGAGCAATATTTATAACGGATTAATATACCACTTATAGAGAAACCATTCTATCGCGGTTTTACTTCATTGTCCAACGAAATATATCAATGCACCTTGATGAGGCTCAAAACGGCGGATATCGATCAAGAGGTGAAGGAAAGAGCTATATCTTGCATGGGACAAATCCTTGCACACTTTGGAGATACTCTGTCAGACAAGCTACACGTATGCCTACCTATTTTCCTAGATAGGTTGCGCAACGAGATAACAAGGCTTACTACTGTTAAGGCTCTAACTTGCATAGCCGCGTCTCCTCTGAGAGTCGATCTGAAACCGATTATGGTAAATTTATAAAGTACAAATATACGATTGAGAAATTGCACAATTCTTTCTTTACAAGCTGTTTTGTCGCCTTTTGTAGGAAGAAGCAATACCCATTCTTGGGTCTTTCTTGAGGAAAAATCAACGAGCTTTGAAACTTGCTTCTCTTCCTCTTCTGGATACATTAGTACGCAATTATAGCTCGGCTCTGCATCCAGATTTACTTGATAAGGTATGAACGTTATTTACTATATATTGTATTGTGCAATATTTAAAGGGTCACTGGATGATTATTTCCAATTTTTTTTTTTTTTACAGGTTACTGCGGAGTTACCTGCATTACTAAACGAGTCAGATCTGCACATTGCGCAATTAACGTTGAATCTTCTCACTACCATAGCGAAGCTACATCCAACTGCCCTGACCAGGGTTTCCGAACATATCTTGCCTGAAATACTCATTTTGGTAAAGTCGCCGCTTCTTCAAGGTAGGTGTACCTCGCTTTAACATTAAACAAATTAGAAATTTCAGTACGCTTATACAAATTGAACTGAATTTTTGTCAAACAGGTGTCGCATTAAATTCAATGCTTGAGTTTTTCCAAGCCTTAGTTCAAGCGAATTTGCCAGATCTGGGATATAGAGATCTTCTCGCGATGTTACTAGTTCCGGTTACTTCATCCCTACTTCATAAGCAAGCTTATCACTCGTTGGCTAAGTGTGCAGCCGCCCTGACAATCACTTGGCACGATGAAGCGCAGTGCATTGTACAACAATTGCTGAAAGACGTTCAAAATCCAACGGATATTCAGAACGTTGCGCAACACATATTCGCCTTGCTGGTCATTGGAGAGATAGGAAGACACGTGTAAGAGAATTGTGATTTATTTCTAATGAACTGTATTATAAGAAAAAAAAGATTTATCTTTGAAATAATGTTTCCACAGAGATTTAAGCGGAATTAATTCATTGAAACACACGATTCTAAATTCATTCTCATCTCACTCGGAAGAAGTTAAGTCCGCGGCCAGTTATACGTTGGGAAATATCGCAATTGGAAATCTTCCTGAGTATCTACCTTTCATACTTCAGGAGATTGAGGCGCAGCCCAAACGTCAATATCTGCTTTTGCATTCGTTGAAGGAGGTAAAATTCGTGCAGTAACAGTCTTTATTACCGTTCAAGCTCATCGGAATAGAAAATCCATTTCTAAAGTACTATTTGTCTTTGCAGATCATTACAAGTCAATCAGCCAGTCCATCTGGCGTGTCAAACTTGCAGAATTTCGTGCCTTCGATCTGGATGCTCTTGTACAGGCATTGCGAATGCACGGAAGAAGGTACTCGTAACGTCGTGGCCGAATGTCTCGGTAAACTGACGTTAATTGATCCCGCTACTCTGTTACCAAGACTGCAAGAATCGCTCAAGTCACCATCAGCTCTTATGAGAACAACGACAGTCACCGCAGTTAAATTTACCATTTCCGATCAGGTACTTAGCCACAACTTATAATATCATCTATATTATACGTATAGTATCATATATATCGACGTATCATATATCATATCTATTTCTGTTCTTTAAGGAATGAAGTACAACGATTTATTACCTAGTTTACCTCGAAATTTATTTTTCTCTTCTATCTCAGCGAAATAATATATTTTCGCTCAATAGCTTTTGTATTATATGCGAGTTTGCAGAATCGGGTATTGAACCCGGTCTCTTATTTGACAAACTGTTTTATCACCAAGCTATTCAGTGCCCTAACAAATGTATCTAATTTAATATTTACAGCCACAACCAATAGATGCCATGTTGAAGCAATGTATGGGTAATTTCTTAGTCGCTTTAGAGGATCCTGATCTTAACGTGCGTAGGGTAGCACTAGTCGCATTTAATTCTGCTGCGCACAATAAGCCTATGCTGATACGGGATCTCTTAGACGTAGTGCTGCCGCATCTTTACGCGGAAACTAAGATCAAGGTTAGCAAGATTTAAATCTAAGAAAATACTAAATCTCAGTCTGAACTAATCAGTTCAGATTGTCCGTTGTCACCGAGACTTTGTCGTAATGTAATAAACTTTCCATTACAGAAAGAACTAATCAGAGAGGTCGAGATGGGTCCTTTCAAACACACGGTAGACGACGGATTGGACCTTCGTAAAGCAGCATTCGAATGTATGTACACCTTGCTGGATTCGTGTCTCGATAGGCTGGACGTCTTTGAATTTCTAAATCATGTGGAGAACGGTCTTAGGGACCATTATGACATCAAGATGCTGACTTATCTCATGACCGCGCGACTCGCGCAATTGTGCCCGACTGCAGTCTTGCAAAGTGAGTATATCGCGCACAATTGTTTATAGTTGTACTAGAATCCTTGATATTTTAGAACATTTAATATTATAATCCTACGCTCCAATGTTTATCATATAGGGTTGGAGCGATTAGTCGAGCCGCTGAAAAGTACTTGCACGATGAAAGTAAAAGCGAACTCAGTGAAGCAGGAGTATGAGAAGCAAGACGAATTGAAACGCTCTGCGTTGAGAGCCGTTGCAGCATTGTTAACTATTCCTGATGCAGGTAAATAGAATTGTTTTAAAATTAAATTAATTTAAATAAAATTCTATTTTCAAAACATTTATCTATTTATAAAATTTTTTAAAACTTTAACTCAAAAGAACTAAATTAACTAAAAATGATCTCAATTTATATACCTACAGCATGAAATTTGATATATAGTAGTAGTAATTATTTTACGCTTCTTGCGGGGTACAAAAAGGACTCCCGCTCCTTTTACATTGCCTCTTCTTTAACCTACCTATCCTCCTCCTCCCCCTCTCTCTCACTCACTTACTCATAAACTTACGATATATGTGCGACGTTTATTTGCAGATAAAAATCCATCGTTGAGCGAATTTGTGGGACAGATTAAGGCCACGCCGGAACTGTTGCCGCTCTTTGAGATAATACAAAAGGACTGTACCGGCAATAACATGAACGAAGCAAACGCAATGGATCAGAGCTAAGAATAATTGACTTAATTCTTTTTTGTATTTCGTATAGATGAACGTGGGTTAAGCGCATTCGTGATCATACTCTATCCATAGTTTATTTCTATACATTATTTTTTCATTATTATATCTTCGATTTGAAGGTAGTTTCTAATGAATGTGAGTTAATGTAGCACATCATGTATAAATTTTAAAATAAATTTGCCGGCAATAATCATTTTATTATCATTTATATGTGTAATTTCCCCTTGTATGGTACAGATTAATCTCTATATACATACGTATGTAGATATAATAAACACTCCACGCAGGGCAAAATTATTAAGGAAAAAATTCGAGAAAAGAGGCACTATCGAGACAATGCAAAAAATAAAAATAGCGATTATAAATGTCTACGCAGGTTGATGTTTTCTTTTAGCGCACTTGCTATTAAAATACTAATTAATGATATTTACTATTATTTGCGAGCACGGGAACACAGACAAATTCGGGCAAAATGAGCTTTGTGAAATCCAAAATTGTCTTAATTAATTGTCTTAAATAAAGTCTTTAATAAAGACTCCTTCTCGAAGTCCTGATTCCTTCCAAGTGAGATAGCTTGTAGGTTGAAACATCACTCCACAGTCCATACTCTCGTTGCGTCTGATGTGGTTGCTGGCAGACCGTCACTTCCAAGATGATCCACAGTTGCGTGTACAGGCCGATAAAGTTAGTGCAACGGTCACTTTAGAGTACTTTAGACGGTGTGGCATAGACCTCGATGCGGCACGAATCTCTGAAAGACCAGAAATACCTTAGTGCTGTGATTCAAGACACTTTGATGTGGACAACACTAATGCTGAGGCACTAATGCTGAGGCACTCAAAGGTGATCACAAAGGTCTGATGATCTTTACTTACTAGTCATGTTCCTTAGTGAGCCTTAAGAGGATGGGACCCGAAGAGGATAATTTTTGTGTTTCGGTGTGCTCGACATGAACACAACTGAAACCGCTGATGTCCCTCGGAATCGCATCGTAAATCATCATGTGGTGGAGTCTTTTGCACGCAAGGCATCTCTTCCGCGATGAACAATCCGCCAGTTGATGCCTGCCGAAATAGTTTAGGTTTGTTGCCGTCCGCAAACTCTTTTTTCTCATCAGACAGTCTTTTTTCATGAATTCCGGACAAAAGAAAATGTGTCGTCGCTTGGCCTTCTGACAGAGGACACATCTAGCAGAACGAGATGAAGAACCGCTTGTTATCATCTACTGAGCTAGAGTCAACTTTGGATGAAACTCCAGATTTCGCACACAACATTCGAGGAACGCGTTCAGGACATCCGAAGAAGGTGGCTCAGAAGTATCACAATTGTAGTTTTCCATTCATGTAGTTCGAGCAGTCCCACCAAAATGGATAAACAGATCGCTTCATGATAAGACGTCCGATGGCTTCAAGGGAGCTGACGATGGGAAGCATACCGTGATCTGCTTCAGATTACTGGCCAACTCCATTTTCGTTTCCGCAAGACGGTAAAAGCAGAAAAACACAATCGCACCGGCAGCCTTTTGTTAGAGTAATGATCTGCCAGCATGGATCAGACACGCAGAAAATTCTTGTCGGTCTCGAGCGACTTACACACTACTGCGTCTCGCTTTAAGACTCGTGTTCAAACAAAACTTCTTTACATTTTAGAGCGACGGATTCTTGTCGATGATCGACGAACAGATTTCAGAGAATCAAGACTAATTCTTAAAATTTATTATATTGACATAAAATGAAATGATTGAAGAACAATTGCATAATGTTATTTAATGTGATTTCGAACAACTATTCTAACAAAGATCTTTCATATGTAAATGTCCTTCTAAAGAAATTCAGCATTACTTTGTTAATATAAACAAAATCAATTTTGTATTATTTAATATACGAAAACATACCAAGTTAGACAGAAATAATTCTTTTCTTACTAATAATCATTAAATAAAAGTACATTTTGTGTTACAAAATTATAAACACACACGCACACACTTCGCTTGGTATAAAAATAAAAATAATCTTAATTTCTAATTTTTGGAAAGAAACTAATAATATTAAACGAATAAAAATAATCTTAAAACATCTTAAAATTATGTGAGAAAATGCTTGAACATTTTGAAAGCTTAACTTTGAGCTACGCAAATATCAGAAGTAATATCATATAATGAATAATAATCAGTTTCTTTCATCTTCTACTTTTACATCTGTTAGTAGTACAGAAAAGATTCGTTTGGCCTCAGAAATTTGAGGGAGGAAAAGAAAGAACTGCCTCAACACTAATAAAATTAAACAAATAAAAATAATTTCAAAACATCTTAAAATTATGTGAGAAAATACTTGGAACATTTTGAAAGCTTAACTTTGAGCTACGCAAGTATCAGAAGTAATATCATCATAATGAATAATCAGTTTCTTTCATCTTCTATTTTTACATCTGTTAGTAGTACAGAAAAGATTCGTTTGACTTCAGAATTTGAGAGGAAAAGAAAGAACTGCCTCAACTAATAAATCCAAATTTGGAAAGAATCTTTCCTTATTACAATTTTCATATTCAGTTATTTTGCTTTACATTTCATCAATCTTTAAAGAGGCTAATTCTTGCTTCTGTCGTTCATCAAAAACTGATGCCAAAATCTGCCATTCGAAAACTAAATCGTAGCTGGCTCATTAAAATTATCGCAGGATATTCCGACAAGATTTTTAATAGAAATATCTTTTTGTTCTAAAAGACTTTTGAAAGCTTTGAAGAGTTTACTCGTGGAATAATTTCTGGCGTCTGAAGATATTACTTCTAATAATTCCGTCGCGACTTTCTTATTTGAAGGAGAAAAATATCGAATGAGAATGCATATTATTTTTGTGCCGAATTATCTGAATTTTCATCGATGAAAATCGAAAATCTACTGGACTGTAAATTAAGAATTTTTTTGTTTTCAGTAATTTTGGTAATTTGGGTAATTTGTCTTTAGTAATTTTTTTATGTGATTTATTGAAAGATTTCGCGCAACTTCAGGATATTTACAAATATCCTTTGCCAATTTTTCCAAATCATCTGCGGCGTCTCCAACGATATCATGTTCGGCACAAAATGTCGCAACAGCTCGCTTAACTCTATCTTCATATGACAAATCCATAGATGTGTTGTTAGCATTATCAATCGCTTTCCCTGAATTTACGTTTTCGATATGTTTGGCCATTTGTGAGTGTTCAATTAGATCCGTTTTGCAACATTTGATGATCTCATTGCATACAGTACAACGTGCGTTATTTTCCGAACAAGCCAACCATCCTTTAAAAATGTTTTCGTTTAGCCATGAAGCTTGGAATTTGTTAACTTCACGCTTTTTAATTGCTCCTTTTCCTACATTTATATCCATTATCAAAATAAACGATATAATACGACTTGCCTTAACCTATCGACCTATCAACCTGTCGAAAGCGCGCTAAAACCTGCCAGAGCCAGCGCCAAAAATTAAAATCACAGAGCGTCCCCTAGGGCTGCGTTCGGATTCCCCACCCGAGTCACCCGAGTGCTAAAAATCCTATAGTATATGTCACGTGCACTATAGATTTTCAGCACTCAGGTGGGGAATCGGAACGCACTCTAGTTTGACCACGTTGCGATTGACCATCAACATTTGTCACGTGCGCCGCACATTTCCGCTCTGCGCATGCGCCACGTAGAACATGGAATGAGAGTAGAGCGAGAGAAAATTTCGGGGTAAAGCGGATAAAGAGAATAAAAAGATGATTTTAGAATAGGAGAAGCCGACCGATACAGTTTTCTACGGGTTTTTTAAATGTAGAATTATTCTATTCGTATGTCGCGATTATTTTATTAATTGTATCGCGGGCCGCATGCGAATCGAAAATCCAATTTATCATCGACATCAGCACCAAGAAAAGAGAGAGTACCATCTATATATTATATAATCTAAATCGTATCTGACATCTGACACTGACAGAACGCCGCACGCCGCGTTTAGCCGGAGTCAATTGGAGTTTGATAACGTGTCCCAAGCAAGAATTAATTTTACAGGATTTCTATTTGTTTATATTAGATTTATATTGAATTTGCCTCTTTTCCGAAGATACCACTCAAAAGTACCGTGCGTTAAAACGGAAAAGAAAAAACAGATGACATCGAGCATAATTTCTTCATCACCGATAACGCTGTTATCAATTATCACTACGCTTTAGTGACAGACACATAGATGTGGCAATTTAGAATACGGATTTACATTTTATTAAATTACACCAAATTGCAATCCCAAAATTATTTTATACCGCTCGGTTGAAACATTTCAACCGTGTAGAACCAATTTCGCAAACAGCAGCAGCAACATGCGAGGGACAATAATTTGACATATCAATGCGGATGATTGTCCATTACAGTAGCCGCTTGATTATTCGGCATCCAGCCGAGATTATTGTCCTAGAAATTGTGCCAGAAACTTTGTCAAGATGCCACTGGAAAAGGGACTGGCGTCAAAGTACATGTATATCACATTTGTGATCGCAGCATATTGGTAAGTCACAAAATGATATCGAGTCGCTCACATATCGTTCAACCTGCCTTAAATATATTTTTATACATTTAAATATATTTAAATATATTAGAAGTTGACCTTGTCTTAGGATGCAAAGAGTATATATAATTATAATTATTTTTGTAATTCAAAGTCTCCACCAATTTCTCGGTCAAAGGGCTCTTTTCTTTAAATGCATTTTTAAATAATTTTCAGGGTAGTGTCCATCCTGACTGTATTCATGAACAAAGCGCTCCTGTCCAGTGACACTGTGAATTTGGATGCTCCTCTGTTTGTAACTTGGTTTCAATGTATAGTAAGCGTAGCTATCTGTGTTACTTTACACAAAATGTCCCACTGGTTCCCAGACTACATTGAAATTGCGGATGGTAGTCCATTTAAAAGAGACACTTTGAAAAAGGTATGTAAATCGCTTTAGGAACATTGTACAACGTAAATGTAATAATTGTTTTTTTTTTTTTTGTTTTGTTACAAATGATTGGAAACTAATTATTCCATTTGGAGGAAAATCATTGCATATAAATTTTATCTACTTTAAATTAAAAAAAAAATAGATACTTAATAAATTTAACAGAAAAAGATGAACTCTTGATTAGAATATATAAAAGAATGTAACTTTAAATCTTGTGATTTCTCTGCAACAACAGTTGACAATGTTTATGGCTGAAAGAGAAGATATAAAGTGTTTTATGTTTTGTAAATTTTTTATAGGTACTGCCATTATCAATTCTGTTCACCGCAATGATAGCGACTAACAACTTGTGCCTGAAACACGTCGGCGTCGCATTTTACTATGTGGGCCGTTCGCTAACGACAGTATTTAACGTTGTGTTTACCTACATTTTACTCGGTGAGAATCCTACGCGAACAAATCCGTCTAAACCGAGTGGAAATTATCGGAGTAACTAATCAGCGAAAGTTTGCAGGGCAAACGACGTCTCTGAAATGCATAGCATGCTGCGCGGTGATTATTGCCGGGTTCTGGTTAGGGGTGGATCAGGAGCATGTAGCGGGCTCCCTGTCCGTTCTCGGGACCCTGTTCGGCGTGCTTGGATCGTTGTCGTTATCCTTGTACTCCATCCGCATGAAACAGACGCTCCCGGTCGTAAATCAGGACATCTGGTTACTTTCCTATTATAACAATGTCTACAGCATTATCATCTTCATCCCGCTAATGATAATCAGCGGTGAACATACAACCGTGTATAATTACGAGAAGCTTGGACATCCCCTTTTCTGGACTGCCATGACGATCGGCGGTGTATTCGGCTTCGCCATCGGATACTTCACCGCGCTTCAAATAAAAGTCACATCTCCTTTGACGCATAACGTTAGCGGTACCGCGAAAGCATGCGCCCAAACGGTTTTAGCGACTTACTGGTTTAACGAAAAGAAATCGTTTCTCTGGTGGCTAAGCAATATCGTTGTCCTCACTGCCAGTGGGTTTTACGCGAGGATCAGGCAACTGGAGTTGAGTAAAGAGTACAAAATCGAGACGCAACAACTTAAAGTCTAACAACTGGTAATGAGGCGTAGCAATTTTATTAAAATGTTTTTATATTTATAAAGTATTATTTTACGCAACCGTATATAAATATATGTATATAAATGTTCTCTTAAGGAGATATCATATGGAAGAGATGCTATTCTTTACATGTACATGCAAACTGCAGAAGTTTATTCGACAGTTTTGCAAAAGTATGTATATATATATGTATATAAATATGTATAAAATATCTCTGCATTTAAAACAGTATTATAGTATCAAATATTTTAAATATTAAGTTTATGATGTTTACAGTCTAGCCTGTTTACTACATGACGTTTAAAAAACAAACTATTTCATGTCACAAATGTTTGTGTAGCCGAAATTATCCCTAATATCACAGTATTACATAATCTCCAAACTTCTCGGAGATTGCTAATCTTTTGTGTATACGCTCTTAACAATGCGTATATGGCTTAAAATCGTGATGCAATTCCATTTCCACGACTATCCGAGTGACTCGATAGTGAATCTTTCCTTTTGACAATTGCGTTTACGCTTCTCATGGATGAGCTATCGTCGTGAGACAACGGCGATATCATGGAATACAATCGAGCCTGCAACGCAGCCTCCATCGAGTGTCTTTGATTATCTTCAATCACCATACCGTCAGAGACAAAATAGTACCTATAAAAAGATTGAATAAATTGATACGTTGTAAATATACCTCACGCCTATTTATTTGAGATTATTAAATTTCTTATATACCTGGGATATTCTATCGCGGCAGAAACGTTTAGTGCGCGCACGATAAGATTGTAGAGGATTTGGCCGTTAAGAAAAATATCATTCGAACCGAGCACTCCACGCAATCCGCATATTCCTCCATCGTAATGAAAAATAATAGGGATGAACGTGGACAAATCATTGTCATCGATATTGTCCAAAAAGAATCCAGCCATTCTGTTCCCGGAACCGAAAGGTGAACTCAGACCACTGCATCATTTATAACATGTTAGTGCAACGAGACCGTTCAGTTATCTAATAGATGTATAGAAATATAATTGCGTCCTGTTACTAACGATAAGATGGTAACGTAGGTGTCTTGCCAATCCATTGCCATGACTCCAGTGTACGTTTCTTTTTTCACGTCTAAAATTATTATTATGAGATTAATAGAAAATTACGCGCAGATCTGTGATAATAAAAAAAGAAAAAAAATAGTACGTGTCTCACCATGTTGCAAGTTTTGAAAAAACTGTAGAAATACATTCATCAACGTTTGAGCAACAAGAACTTGAGATTCTATAGTAGATGCATTTCCTGCTAAAATTGGAAGGTTTTCCAGTGCTTCGATCACCTCTTGCATAAAAGACGCGTGCGACGGATAATAAATTGTATGGCGATGTAACGTTGTGCTCCTCGCCATCGTTACGGTAGGCTCGTAACTCGCCAATTGTTGCAGCAATCTTTCACGGAGCGTAGTATTTTGTAGAATTTCTTGGGACAAGGTACCGTTATATAACGCTAAAAGAAAATTTTTAATATTAATAATCCAATCGTGCAGTTCAAGAAAATCAAGACAAAGTTGCATGAGAATTAGGTATCTACGATTCACAGAGTTGCAAAATACATTTACCCGTTGCACCGTAGTGCGCTATAATATCCAACGTCCTTGTAAGTTCGTGCAATTGCAGTCTATCGCCTGGACTCAAAGGCCCGGCGTAAAATATCTCATAATCTGTATTCTTCGCCACTTCGTCCGCAAGATCCTTAGATATAACGAATCCTTCCCGAGTCAACTCAACGACGGGTTCTACGACGTCGCGCCATGCCAAACTGCCATACGACCTTTGAGCAAATTCTAATCCTTTTAGCAGAGCTGGCAAACGTATTCCAGCCTCGGCAAAGAAACCTGAAGCAGAGAAATTGTGTGAGTAACATATATTTTTCTTTCTTTATATGTCATACACGTTAAATCAATGCGCAAAATTGCATTTACCCGTGGTTGTATTACTTGCAAAATCAATAACAATCGGATGAGTGTAATTTTTGTAATTATATATCATTATGTAACCGCCTCTGGAAACAAAATCAAGATTTAGAAAGGACGACGATGAAGATCAGTCAGCCAATATCTTACCCGCCAAGACCGGTTTTATGAGGCGCTACCACAGCCATGCAAATAGTCGCTGCTACCGCAGCATCGACGGCATTGCCTGATCTGGCTAGTATTTTGGTACCAATTTGGGAACAATTGGAATAATCCGTGGCAACTGCTCCATGAGCACCGTGAAGGCTGCTCTGAAACGAGACGAGGATATTGTCAGAATGTTTTATTATTTCGTTGCCCTCTTTTCTATTTTTAGTATCTATACCTGCGGTATACTTTCGGTGTAAAGAATTTGCAACACCAGCATGGTGGTGATGGCAAAAGTCAACGCGATAAAGCAGAATATGATGAATTTCAGCCCATTGCCGCAGTAGGCACAGAGTCGGTACCCGTAGCTTCTCTCCTTCGTCAAAGGACATTCCTCTGTGAGACCTGCAAATACGCTGACTTGTAATCCTTTCCTTTTGTCGTATATATGACACGTACAAGTCGTTATCCTAAAATCTAATGACTTCGGACAATTTTGACTAAATTACCGATTAACTTATCAATATCTGCATAATTTTGTTGACATGGATAGAACAAATAAATAAATAATTTTGTTTTAATACATGGGAAGAGAGAGAAATATTAAATTAAGGACTATAAATTGAGCAGTTAGAAATTTTGCAATAAACAGTTCTGCCAGTTTTGAATTAATCACGATGATCAAGAAATGCAAATGTAGTGCAAAATATTTAGGCCAATGCACAGAGCAAAAGGCGTTTGCGCTTACGTGTATTGTAACTCATTCTCCAAAGTTCGTCGCTTTGTAATAATAATCTTGCACGTTACCGCGATATTTGTGACTTGAGTTTCTTTCAAAATATCGAGAGAAAATTGCAAGTAATAACGTCAACAAAAACTTAATGTAAAACAGAAACGAAAAAAACGGAAAAGGAAAACTAGGGAGGTCTTCCGTCCTTCTTCAGACAGTTTGATACATTCCACCGCCTCCAGTAGAAATCTGAAAGGAACTAGATAATAACTAGGTAACGTGTAGCGGGTTTTTCAAGTTTATTATTCGACAAGACGTAAAACATGTGCGAAAACTGCGAAACCGTAACTTCGCGAGGCTCGACAACATCCCCGAGCTTCTCCTTACGAATCCGTATTAAATATACAGCCTAGAAAATCGGTAGACGAGTCGTCCTCCCAACAATTAATATATTTTTCTTTACATCGTACACGCGAAGCACTAAAATTACACCTAGTCAATTCCATCGAATCGGACGCGTTTGGTTTTATGTTGTAATAACTTTCCAGAAACTCCAACACGGATGATTTATTTTGCAGACTATTGAACAACATTCGTTCCGTCCTCGGCAAGATTTTTTCCAACATGAATACCAGATGATGGTGGAAACACTGAAATTCAGTCGGCACGGTCGACGTAATGTCCAACCAATCTTGAACGCAGGCGAGCGGAGTAGCGGAGAGTCCCGAGAACAACGCCGGATTAGTTAAAATACCCCTGGCGGACATCACCCCCTCGCATCCGGATTCCTTGAACAAGGATTCCGCGCTCTCCAGGCTTTTCGCGTCACCGTTCGCCACGAGGGGCAGCCGTACGTGATCCCTGAGAAGCTTCAGCTTGTCCAAATCGATCGGTTCGTTACGCATCTCGGGAGTCCTCGCGTGAATCGTCAAGAACGAGGCGTCGGCCTTCTCCAGAGTTTGGCACAACGCTATCGTCTGGCGTATATCTTTCAACAAACGTATCTTTGCGGAAACGGTGAACGGCCTTGGAATACGATTTCTGACTTGTGACACCAGATCCTTGACGAGCTCTGGTTTTCTCAACAAATCAGCCCCGTATCCCTCTTGCATGGCCCAGCGTTGCGGACAGCCACAGTTCAGGTCTACACCGTTGCAATATCTGTTAATTAGAGGAATAAAATACGCAAGAAAAACAAGAGTACACTTGTACCGTCAAAATTTATAAAATGTATACAAACTGTGATTTGTGACTTACGGCGCAACCATTTCTGAAGCGTCGACAAAGTCGTTTACAGTCTTAGCCGCAAATTGAACGATCAGTGGCTGATCTTTTTCGTGCGTGGTAAATTCGTTGTCCCGAGCTTTTGAGGATTGCACAAACGAGTCCGCCAGGATCATGGGTGTGAAGCATATGTCGCATCCGTACCGTCTCACAAGTGTTCTGAACTGTAGTCTAGAAAAAAGTGCGAAGTTAATTAATATAATACACGCGCAATGCGTAAGTCAAAGAATATTGCCTCCACTCACTTGCTATATCTGACCATCGGGGCACAGATTTTTATCATTCTTGGCTCTTTTAACATTTCCACCACGTCGGTAGTCATTATTAAAATATTTTCGGTAACCACTTAGATTTAAAAAAAAAAATGACAAGTTTCCGCCTGTTTACATTGAATGTAAAGACAGAGGAAGAGTTCAGCAACAACAAAAACTTCAATTATACTACTTTGGATCTTGGATTCGCGTTTTGTTGTTGACGCGCATGTTTAGCATCTCCCACCTCTCACTACGCGACTACCGCCATATTGACGTTCGGAAACGTCACCCGAGTGCACACGAGTATACTCCCTTCTCTTTCTGTCTTAGCGAGTTAGAAGGAGAAGAAACTATATCCGTGTGTACCCGACGTTACCGAACGCAGCCATTGGGCGCGTTCAGCAGACACAACTGTTGAGTTCGTCTTATCAACACTCCGCGTTGATTGGTTGGTTCTAACAGTAAGAGCCAATCACGTGCGACTGCTACTGAGCGGTTTGGTCTGCCGTACGCGACCATTGTCGGCTTGTCGTCGTCGTCGCCAGTGTCGCCATATCGCTTCAGCGTGCATCTTCGCCGGGTGTTTGGCGTTGATTTGTGCTTATTCGTGCTCCATTAGCAGAAATTGCAAGAAAAATTGCGACTAACGTGGAAGCTACATCCCGAAATCGCGTATTTCGCACGCTGAGAAAAAATGAGCAATATATTCGGTCTCGAAGACAGTAAGTGAACCAAAACAATTAGAATTAAATTAAGGTTAGGATATCTCGTAAACCTTCGCAATTTTGCGGTCTTCACTTTCTTTATGATATTCCCAATACTTTTGCTTGAATCTTTTACTCCCGCTAATTTTTAAAGAAATTCTACGATATTTATTATCAAAGTTGCCTTTCTGCCTTTTGAGTTTTGCGAACTTTTGTTAACACATCGAATACCGAATCTAATTCGCTCATCTTTGCTGTCAATACCAAAGTGAAATTTTCATCAAATTTGATCCACATGTCGATGAAATCTTATATAATTGATTTATGCAAAAGTATCATGTATGGTACATTTATTATTTTAGATTTACTTTAATATTAATTGTATTTATAAACTTATAAGTGCTATTTTTTATAGTTTTATACACTTTTGTTCAGTTTGCTCATGCAGGATTGCTGCAGTCTTATTCTGTAACTCTAAACAACAGTGTCGGCATTGTTATGTTGTCATCGCACAGGTATAATATACGACAAAAAAAAACTGTGCAACAACAATATAACGATAATGATACTCTCATCAAGAGTTATCAAGAATAGGCCTGCTGGATTTGTGTGCTTATTGCTGTATGAACAGTGTCGCTAGCTATTTTGCTGGCTTGACTTCAAACTTTACAGGCTTTCATGCTGGCTGAGCAGTTGGAACCTGCTTAATTTAAAAAAATCCCTAAAATGCTACTTTTACTTATTTCCAGGTCAATATGATGAGGAAGATGCGGACGAAATCTCGTCCAAACTTTGGCAAGAAGCCTGCTGGATCCTCATCAATGCGTACTTCGACGAGAAAGGACTTGTACGGCAGCAGCTGGATAGCTTCGATGAATTTATCGAAATGTCCGTTCAGCGTATCGTGGAGGATTCGCCGCAGATAGAATTGCAGGCAGAGGCGCAGCACACCACGGGCGAGATAGAGAAACCTGTGAAACATTTGTTAAAATTCGAGCAGATTTACTTGTCGAAGCCGACCCATTGGGAGAAGGATGGCGCGCCGTCTCCCATGATGCCCAATGAAGCCAGATTAAGAAATCTAACGTATTCCGCGCCGTTGTATGTGGATATCACCAAGACGATCGAGAAGGACGGCGAAGACCCCGTAGAGACGCAGCATCAAAAAACATTTATCGGGAAAATACCGATTATGTTGAGATCAAAGTATTGCCTGCTCGCCGGTTTGTCCGATCGTGACTTGACGGAACTGAACGAATGCCCGCTGGATCCCGGTGGATATTTCATCATTAACGGCTCGGAGAAGGTTCTTATAGCCCAGGAGAAAATGGCTACAAACACCGTTTACGTGTTCAGCATGAAGGACGGGAAGTACGCCTACAAGGCGGAAATCCGTTCCTGCCTGGAACACAGTTCGCGTCCGACCTCGACCTTGTGGATCAACATGATGGCCAAGAGCGGTGCCAGTATTAAAAAGTCCGCTATAGGCCAACGCATTATCGCCATTATTCCTTACATCAAGCAGGAGATCCCCATAATGGTGGTTTTTCGAGCCCTCGGATTTGTGGCCGATCGCGATATCCTCGAACATATCATTTACGATTTTGACGATCCCGAGATGATGGAAATGGTGAAGCCGTCCTTGGACGAGGCTTTCGTCATACAGGAACAGAACGTCGCTTTGAATTTTATCGGTACTAGAGGCGCCAAGCCGGGAGTGACCAAGGAGAAGCGGATTAAATACGCCCGAGAAATCCTGCAGAAGGAGATGCTGCCGCACGTCGGCATAAGCGATTTCTGCGAAACTAAAAAGGCTTATTTCCTCGGCTATATGGTCCACAGATTGCTGTCGGCGTCTCTGGGACGAAGGGAATTGGACGATCGCGATCATTACGGTAATAAGAGACTGGACTTGGCCGGGCCTCTGCTGGCGTTTTTGTTCCGAGGTCTATTCAAAAATCTGATGAAGGAGGTACGCTTGTACGCGCAGAAATTCATAGATCGGGGAAAGGACTTCAATCTCGAGCTGGCTATCAAGACGAAAATCATCACGGACGGTCTGAGATACTCGCTCGCCACGGGTAACTGGGGCGATCAGAAGAAGGCGCATCAGGCGAGGGCGGGGGTGTCGCAGGTATTGAACAGATTGACCTTCGCGTCGACGCTGTCGCATTTGAGACGAGTGAATTCGCCCATCGGAAGAGACGGCAAACTTGCCAAGCCACGTCAGCTGCACAACACATTGTGGGGTATGCTGTGCCCCGCGGAGACCCCCGAGGGTGCCGCTGTAGGACTGGTGAAGAATCTAGCGCTGATGGCGTACATAAGCGTCGGCTCGCAGCCCTCGCCTATCCTAGAATTCTTGGAGGAGTGGTCCATGGAGAACCTTGAGGAGATAGCCCCGAGCGCGATCGCCGACGCTACGAAGATATTCGTGAACGGATGCTGGGTCGGCATCCATCGCGATCCGGATCAATTGATGGCCACTCTACGCAAACTGAGAAGGCAGATGGACATCATCGTGTCGGAAGTATCGATGGTCCGCGATATTAGAGACCGCGAGATAAGGATATACACGGACGCTGGTAGGATCAGTAGACCTCTGCTCATAGTAGAAGGTCAAAATTTGCTGCTGAAGAAGAGGCATATTAACATGTTGAAAGAAAGAGATTACAATAACGACGGGTAAGCATCTAGGATATTCCCGCTTTCCATTCGTCTGCTTTTACGAATGTCGCGCTCGATATATGATCAATTTGTGTGTGTGTGTTACAGGTGGCAGGAATTAGTAGGTAGCGGAGTAGTGGAATACATAGACACCCTGGAGGAAGAAACTGTCATGATAGCTATGTCACCCGATGATCTCCGACAGGACAAAGAATACGCATATTGTACGACGTATACGCACTGCGAAATTCATCCGGCGATGATCTTGGGCGTGTGCGCTTCTATTATACCGTTCCCCGATCATAATCAGAGCCCTAGGAACACTTATCAGGTATCATGCGTAGATTTCAGTCGCTACGTTTTTCTCTCTACCGTTTAACGTCTTTAACGAGATCTAATACACAAAGTTGTTTTTCAGAGTGCTATGGGTAAACAAGCTATGGGGGTGTACATTACGAATTTCCATGTGCGCATGGACACCTTGGCTCACGTGCTCTATTACCCTCATAAACCGCTGGTCACAACAAGATCCATGGAGTACCTCAGGTTCCGTGAATTACCGGCCGGCATTAACAGCATCGTTGCGATCCTGTGTTACACGGGATACAATCAAGAGGACAGCGTTATTCTGAATGCGAGCGCCGTCGAGAGAGGCTTCTTCAGATCGGTGTTTTATCGCTCCTACAAGGAGTCCGAGTCGAAGAAGATCGGCGACCAGGAGGAGCAGTTCGAGAAGCCCTCGCGCTTAACTTGCCAGGGAATGCGCAACGCTATATACGACAAGTTGGACGATGACGGGATCATCGCACCTGGAATTCGAGTATCGGGCGACGACGTGATCATAGGAAAAACGATTACTTTGCCGGAAACGGATGATGAGGTAAAGTGATTGTATTTTAATTATCCTCTAACAAATAGATCTCTCTGATGGAAAAAGAGGATAACGTGCTTTATTCTTTGCTATTTGCCTTTTAGCTGGATAGTACAACGAAACGTTTTATGAAACGCGACGCGTCGACTTTCTTACGAAACAGCGAGACCGGTATAGTCGATCAAGTGATGCTGACGTTGAACAGCGAAGGATATAAATTCTGCAAGATCCGAGTGCGCAGTGTACGTATCCCGCAAATCGGCGATAAATTTGCGTCGCGTCACGGGCAGAAGGGTACATGCGGAATTCAGTACCGGCAAGAAGACATGCCGTTCTCCTGCGAAGGTCTTACACCGGACATTATTATCAATCCTCACGCTATCCCTTCTCGTATGACTATCGGTCACTTGATCGAGTGCATCCAAGGAAAAGTTTCTGCCAATAAAGGTAATAACGGTAACACTTAGCAATACTTGGGTTTGAGATGGACAATGCTCTTGTACAAATTTGATACGTTTTTAGGAGAGATTGGTGACGCCACGCCGTTTAACGACGCTGTGAACGTGCAAAAGATTTCCACGCTTTTGCAAGAGTACGGTTACCAATTGCGAGGAAACGAAATGATGTGCAACGGGCACACGGGTCATAAGATCCTCGCGCAAGTCTTTATGGGGCCGACGTATTATCAACGTTTGAAGCATATGGTGGACGATAAGATCCATAGTAGAGCGAGAGGACCTGTGCAAATTTTAGTTAGACAACCTATGGAGGGTCGAGCGAGGTAATTATGTGTTATTATCTTTATTACTTTAATTGTAATCTGTCATATCGATTCAAATGTAATACATATACATATAACTATGTGTTTATCCAGGGATGGTGGACTTCGTTTCGGAGAAATGGAACGGGATTGTCAAATTTCTCATGGCGCGGCGCAGTTTCTGCGAGAACGTCTGTTTGAAGTATCAGATCCATATAGAATTCACATATGTAATTTTTGTGGTTTAATCGCTATAGCGAATTTGCGAAACAACACTTTCGAATGCAAGGGATGCAAAAACAAAACGCAAATTTCACAAATTAGGCTGCCGTACGCGGCAAAGTTGCTCTTCCAGGAACTAATGGCAATGAATATTGCACCTAGACTCATGATACAATGAGTCTTCTGTAAATAATTTATTTTACGTAAAGTATCACCGACTTATCATTGTATATACCGATTGCATACCGTATTGTCGTACAGTGACACGTAAGACAGATTGATGAAAAGCTTTTCATAAGTTTCTAATGTGAATTAGCAACTATTTATTAATAATAAAATGATAGTAATCTTTATGTATGTCAAACTTCATAATGCTTGATGTTTATCAATTTGTGCGAATAAAATAAATTGGTTTATCATATTAGTTATTAATCTCGCAAAAGAGTTGACCTGCCTATTAATTTGTATATGTGTTAACATCATGAAAACAACATGTAGTTTACGTATAAAAATGTGTTGCTTAAATAAATTTTGGATGTTCTTTTAAAAATTGTATTTAAAAAAGATTGATACAAATAAGGATTTTTCAAAATAGTACACATTATTTGAATTAATCATTAGGATTTCTTACAAGACACACATCTAAAACGCAGAATCGTGCTCTGCAAAGAGGACAGGTACATTTGGAGGACAACCACGTTTCCGGTGTGTCCTCATCTTGTCTCGAGGCAAACCTGTTCAAGTAATGATAATAATAATATTAACAATACACGATATCTGAATGTATGATATAAATAGGAGTAATCACGAATAAATTATAGTAAAAATTTACCGACCATTTCGCCATACACTCTATACACCACATTGGACGGCAAAAACACGTCGTGCAGTCGTCAACGTCTCTATTTTCGGTACTGTTGCACAATCTGTTCAATTTAACATTCGACAACGCTTGCATGCATCCGATGCATTGACCTAACTCCTATATATGTATGAATCAATGTAATTGAAGTATATTGAAGACAAACAGACGAGAAGAGAAATCAAAATAATTGTGGCGATAACAACCGTGCCACTTGATACCTCGGCAGTATCGTAGAATGGATTTTTATCGACCTCTTCTTTGAAAGTGTCGATAAATCTATCGAGCAAGGTTCTATGAAACCTTATATTGTGCAGTACAGCAATTGGCCGTGAAACTTTGTCCTGCAGATCCTTAAAATCTAATGCGTTTAATCTTATGTCGAACTCCTGTGCCATAGCTCGCATGGGTTTCACCTGGAAAAACGACACGTAGATCAGTGGATCATGGACAATCGGTAGCGATTTGTGTGTAGCTACGAGAAATACCTGTATATTGATGAACTGAACTTGATCTCTCGTTGTGGGCGACATGAAATGGACGTCGCTCTTATTCACGACTAAGGTCGCGTCGCTTTGATGTGCCACTTGGAATTTATAAGGTGTGATCTTAATAATCCAATTGTCCGTCGCTATGACACGAGTTACGCTATTTGTGACAATAACGATTTTATCTATTCTAAAATGAAATGGTTATTTTAGTATAAATACATGTATTTACAGCATACACGCGTATGCGTGAGATTCACGTTCCCAAGTACAAGCTAGGTATTTGAACGAACCTTCGATACTCTGTATTAATGTCCGAGGCGACAGATGTCCATGGAGTATTATTATTGCCGTACACAGACAGATTCTTTGCTATCGGATGAGTGGCCCAATTGTTCACAGACCACTCGAAGACCTTGTTTAGCGTGTAAAGCGGAACAATCGTCGCACAGAGAACGATTAACGGCCCAAGATAATTTCCATCATTTAGCAACAGCTTTTCGGCATCTATGTGATCAAAGAAGAGCAATCCTAGAACATAGCCTGTACAAAGAGAGGATTGTACACCAGTAAACGCTTGTAAAAATGATGTAGAGCAGATACAATTGGATATAATTAAAGAAAAAAAACATATATTACCCAGAGGTAGTGCAGAATGCAGAAGCAAAGTGGCTACGCTCCGCCTGATGTGATACTGTACGAAAAACTCATTCTCACTGCCAAGCCAATTTGCGAAGACATCTTTGACGGTCAGTCCCGCTGAGACAAATTCCGTCGGCGGATAGATTATACATCCGGACATCAGAAGATAAAACAAAGTATAGAAAAGTACAGCTGACATTTTTTCATTTAGAGAAAAGTAGAGGGGAGACTCGCCGTTTGTCAGAAGCGTAGCAACGACCTGTTTGGAATAATTTCGTAGATTATTTTAGCACCATCTTCTCAGCTGAATTTTTCGTAAAAGTAACAATTGGCGATGGATTACATTCAGTGAGTTACATTCAGTGACACGCGGACTGCAGGTGTCTTTTCATAACTGGCTCGTGGAAATTGTCAAAGATCACGAATCATCCGAAAGCGTATTATAGTTTCGACTTTGATTTTGACGACGGATATATCTGTTTGTTTATCGAAACTCTGTATCCAAATCCACCAGCAATGACAGATCCAGAAAGATTTGTAGGTTAGAGTTTTTAAACCCCAATGGTAGCACATTGGCCACTTGACGCTACAAAGTGCTTCGAAGCATTCCTCTTCTCTTTTCTTTCAATGAAGAAAGAAGAAGAAGAAGAACGCTCTGAAGTATTAACATTTGTACAAAAATATAAAGTAATTTTAGGATGCACTATATAGTTATAATTTATTATAATTAACTGTGTTATATACAATATACAATAATATGAAAAATTTATTCTTGTTTTTTGTTCCTCGTAGCTTTCCACTGCAGCTCATTGCATCTGATCCATCAACGTTTCATAAATCAACATACGAATGTAATGCCATACGCGCGCTTATCGTTTATTCGAGAAGAGATAGAAATTTCGAAACTCGTTTTCGCAGGTAGGAGATTAGATCTTGAAAGGGTCATCTGGTCGTATAGCCGCGATTCTTGATGAAACTCTAGCGCAAAACTCGTCTCATTTGTCAGTCGCCGATTCACGACATCGTGAACGAGATATTAAAAAAAAAAAACGCTTCTTCCTCGCGCCGCATGATGAAATAAATTACTGTTCTCGCGCACGATCATGCATGCTCGTGACACAACTATCATCTTTTCAGTTAGCGGATTAATAACATTAATTATATAGTACGTCGATTGCTACTGCGTACTATATTAGGTATAATTAATATGTTACTGTTAGTTGATTCGTCAAGAGAAACCGCTCCGGCGAATTGGCATGAATTTTAAACAACGAGCGAGAACTCGAATGAATATTTCTCCCATTCGCACTGTTCGGGAATCTCATACAAATAGCGAATTATGAACCCTCGAATTACGAATCGCGCATAGTTGATGCTAGCTTTATGAGATATCTTCTCTGTGTGTATATTTGCGTATGCATATGCGAGTGTGCGCGCGCAAACAGGTTTTACGCCTATTAACATTAATTATATATAATTATATATTTTCGACAAATAGAAATTGTTATTACAAATGAAATTGTCATTACAAATGTCATTTCAAATTCTTTTGTTACTAATATTATATTACGTACATTACAAAATATATTATTGGCGCACCGATTTATCATTTATTCTCACGAGGAACCTCGCGAAACTTTTCTTCTTTGATTTTGATATGTTGCGCTTTTAATATATGTTCAATATGTTGTGTTCTAGATCAAAATGTGGGACATATGTATTTATCTCTTAAAAAAATTTCGGTTTTTTTTTTCAAAACGATAGAAAAATTAAATAAAAGAATGCTATATGTATAATACGACTCGGTAATTGATTATCTGACTATGAATAAACTTTAAACTGTATTACCGACCGAAATTACGCGCGCTAAAAACAATCTCACGTGATAAGGCGTTTTTAAAGTACACACTTCAAAAACAATGTTTACGTTATAAATCGAGAACGTAAGATCTCAAGACATTGTCTCAAAGACATCGTACGGGCGTCTTTTCGCTAAAATCACAAGCTACGTCTTCGGAATTGTAAGATAACTACAAGACGTGGTAAAGTTCCTTGGAAAAACTGAAACCTCGGCCTTCGGGACCCACGGCCCCGTCGCGTGTCGGCGATCGTTCGCGATCGAGAGGCGTTCAAAAGCGAAACATGCAGATCAAGAGGCGTGAGCGAGGCGCAACGCGGCGCCTTCAAAAGCGAGGAAATTCAGTGAAAGAGCCACTTGTCCAGTGACAGTGCTTTCGAGGTTAGTAGACCGCGCGGGTACTCGCGCCCGCGAGCGCTCGCGCGCGGCTGGTCTCGCCGTAAACCTTAAATCGCTATTTATGACCATCCCAGCGTGTCTTTTTGTGTAGATGCTCGTTCAGCGGCGTAGGCTGTTCCCCCTCGCTAAGGAACAAATGTCGCCGATCTCGTCGCCACCGCTGATGCTCAATTTTCGACAACAACGTCGTCGACAGGACCGCGAAGCTACCTAGACGACGTCGAGTCTTCTCCTCGAATCATCCCGGAAACCCTAAAAGGGATTTTAAAGGGTTCGCGTCTCTTCGCGCGAGATGATACGCGATTAGCAACCTCGAGACGTCCCGGAGAGTTTTCAGAATACTTGAAAGTGCGTTGCTCCCCCCGGACAACGCGAGCGTTCTCTCAAGGTTCTCTCTCCGTTTTCAGGATTAACCGAGTTGGCACCCAGGCTACGTCACTGGCGGGGTCCCCGTGACACAGATCGGCGGCGGCAACTATAACGGTACCCACCGGCGTGACCTACTCTCGACGAAGTCGCGCTCTCTCGGTCCTTCCTCCTTCGTCCTCTTCATTTCGCGTCTCTCCCGCGGACTCTCCTTTCGTCCAGGGCCGAATATCCGGCTGGGCTAATACGCGCGACGCTTGTTCGATCATCGACGCTAAGATACACGAGGTTCAAATGACAGTCCCGCACCTTGTACGTATCTCTATTTTTGACGGAGAGAAGATTCGTTATCTCTCTATCGTATAGAAAATCAAAATAAAACAATGGTTGGTATATCTTTAGCTTTAGAGAAATTATCGCCCTATCACCGTGTTGAATATGGCGCTCTAGCGCCTTGAAGCGCCTCTATGTTCGCACAGACACGCCACGCATGCTAGGGAAAATTAAAGTTCCGTTGCGTGAGCGCTTACTGCGTTTCACTATATACTCTCACTATCTATGTACTCTACCTGTCTTGTCGTTCGTTCGTTACGTTGCAGTGTGTATAAAGTTTCTCTTCGTTGCATTACCTTTTCCAAGAAGACACACTGCCTATTGTATTCAAGTCTTATAATTACACGTATCTTAACCACAATACCTGGCGTAAGTCATTACATAACCCTGCGCAACACACCGTGACAAAGTTTAAAAGCTAATCTCGCTCTTCTACTTGCAGTTGTCTAAATGAGACAGCTCTTTTTCAAGCCGCTTCCGCTTCAGGAGATCTCGTCTGAAAACGATCGCAGTCGCATTTATTCCGCGTTCGATCGGGAATCTGGAGAGCCAGGACGGGCAGGACGGACGTGGGCGAGGCGAGACGGTCGGCCGCCACTGCCGCGCGTATAGCATCTTCTCTCCCGTACGCTGGCGGGCTACACACTTTTTCTTCCACGTGAGAAGCATCGTCACGGGTCGCCTCGTCGCATGGGCGGACGGTCGACCGGGCCGCGGCTGATTACGGGCAGTAATGAAAGCGGCCTGCTTGCACGCGGTAGGTAGGCAGGTGCGCGCCGCTGTCTGTCATGTAGCCTTCGTCCCGTCGTTTCCGTCGCACACGTTTTCTGCCGCATCCGTCGCATCCTCGCGTCGAGGCCGTCAATGAGACCGACAGCCGCTGGCCGCCGTTATCGTTGTCGTTCTTCGCGCACCCTGAACAGGGTGATTACGCGTGGGGTACGTGCGGGAGCAGTTTTAAACGTTAGTCGGTCGGCTGTTACGGATCCCGCGGGTCCAGCCGCTGGACCAGCGAGAATCAAGAGCCCTCCCGCGAGTTATGAAAGCGATCGCGCCCTTCGTTCTTCAGGTGAGCGCTTGAATGAACGGCGAATATATATATATCCTTGTTTTCTTTCGCGAACGCGGGTGAACGGAGTATCGTACAACTTCTTTGTGAGAAACGAATGAATTGGGAGAGAAGACGGCAGATATTTGTTTTAAGCATTACCCAATCTTCGAGAATTTGATTTTGGTGTTGTTTGATTATTCTCTTTCTCTGTTCCTATCTTTAATCTCAATTGTATACCGTTTAAATTGAAATAATTACTAAATATGGAATACAAAAAAACCGTTTGTTAAAGATATCGATATGGGTGTTTAGTTCTAAGCTTACAAGGGACATATCACAATTGTTCGGAACTGCGATTGATTCTTCTTGAAATATATCGTTAAATAACAGATAAAAATTTATTATAAAAGACTCATAGAAATAAGAACTTCATAAAAATAGTGATGAGAGTAAGAATAGTTTGAAAAACAACAAAATAATTGAATTTTCAGGAAATTTAAATACGCAGTTATAAAATACATTTAAAAAACCATAAAACACATATGCACATATATATATATATTTTCTAAAATCTAATCATTTCGACAATAATTGTTTAAAATTAAATAGAAGCTTTGAAGGATTATTTTATCCACTTAAACTCCGATTTTTGTGTTTAAGAATTTCGAAGAGAATCAAATCGGTTTCAGACAGTTGTGATATGTTCCTTGTTAGTTACATGCTAAAACACACACATCGGTATCTTTTACAGACAGTTTCGTGTTTCAAATGTGACAATTATTTAGTTATTAAGCAACACATGATCGGGAATAAATATTATATAGATACATTTTCAATGACCGATAATTTTGTAAAAATACATAAGTAAGGATAGAAAGAAATAAGATAAAAATTCCATGTTTATTTTAACGTCAACCTCTCATTCAGAAGATTAAATGTTCTTGTTGTGAACTCTTGTCGATTTTTTTCATCCTTTTCTCGTTCGTCTCGTTAATTTTTTCGGGAAGTGAAGCGAGTAATGGAAGATCCCATTATGTCCATTACGTCGTAAAATAATTTATTATTCCGACAATAATTTATCCGTGTGATTGCAGGTGATTGCATTGCAGCTGACGAGATGCCAGAGCGGCGGTGGTGGCGGCGGCGGCGGGCCGAGCACGTTCGGATACGACGCTTCCTCGGCTTGCAGCAAACCGTACTCGCGCGCTGGACGCGCGCACCACGAGGATTTACCCTGTGACTTTCGCCAACAGAACTGGTGCACGATCGCCGGTAGCTCTTATCCTTGGTACTTCGTCTCATTTGCGCTTCGTCTCTTCCGCTCGTAGCGATCGATCTCTCCTCGAGAGACTTTCGCCCGCCCGACACTCGTACGCTCACGCGCGCGCTCGATTTGTTCGCGGCGAAAGTTTTGGCGTCGCCAATCGTCCAAGTAAACGAATCAAAGTGGATCAAAGGCTCCTCAATGCATGTTTGAAATTTTCGGGCGATGATTAATCTTGAAATCCTTCTCCGTCTCTTCTATCTTTTTTTTTATTTTAAACGTTTTATATTATCAACGAAATTTCGAGGACGAGCGTGGCCTAGTAGACAGCGCACTGGTCTATTGAGCCAAAGGTCCCGGGTTCGATTCCCGGTAGAGCTAGAAAAATTTATATTAGCTCGTTCTCCTCTCGGAAGGCAATGAAAAACCACCGAGAGTATGTCTTGCCAAAAGAGAACTTCTCTAAAAAATATAGCCGTTCGAAATCGGCGTTAAACTGTAGGTTCCATATACAATGTGTATAATCCACGTGCGCAACACATGTATATGAAGAGAAGTCACCACGCTCGGGCACGAGTAATAGGACTGAGTATATGAGCATTTATATATATTATACTTGTAACATTGTTGCTTCATGTCTTGTGTAATTATATGAAATGCTGTTTCAAATGCCGCCTTGGCGTCCGCTATTGTACGTATTATATTCCATCTGGCACTTGTCCTAGTTTTTTGGTTTGACTCGAGAATCTTATGCTGCAGATCTGCAATTTGTGCGTTACGCAGTTCTATGAATTCGGTAATAGTCATAAACTTCTATTTTCATCCGGATCAATTTTTTTTTTTTTTTTTTTTTTTTATTAACGAAATTTCGCCTTGAATCTAGGCCAGACAATTTTTTTTTTGTTTCACTTGTCTTTGTAAAAATTAGAATAGATAGAGAAATAAAGCAACGGATTATATATAAGAAAAATCTTACTTTAAACATGAAAAATAACACGAGATATATTCTTGTTGATCTTTTTTAATTCGTTTATTTATTAAAAACTCTAAATGTTGTCATTGTCTCAGTTGAGACTTGAAATAAAACTTATTAGTTTCCACACATTTTTAAAGTTCTTTAAAAGAAGATTTGCGCCATCTTATCCACTTTGTCACCACAGAGTTATGTTTCTGCTGTTCGTTCGCAGGCATGCGGTACGCCGATTTGTGCAAGAGAATCAGGGGTTGATGAGACGCATGTATGGGGACGAGAATTACATCAGTGTTCTCCGAACGGAATTCGAAAAGAACGATATCGAGCTAAAATACGACGAGTATTATCATCATTTCGCCGACGATCTGAGGTAGCTTTCTCGCAATTCCTTTCGACGATATTTCATTGATAGTCGTTTCTCTCTTTGATTTCAAAATATGACTTTAACATATCTTAATCTTTTATCGCACAAATGTTTTTTAATTTTGCAGAATCTTAGTATAGAAGTTTTTGGATTCATTGATTACAAATTTAAAATCAAAATTTAAAAAATAAAAATGCAGACTTAACGTGGCAGACAAATTTGATTATACGTAATTAAATTTTATACATAAGAATTGCGTGTTGCGATTTTCAGACAATTCCAATATGACGATGATTACGAATTTATCGACGACGATCGGGCAAAGGATAACGAGTATGAAGGTCGCGGATTCACCAGTCGCTCCTTCAACGATCCTATCGCCAAGCGAATGAATAAGTTCTCGAAGCTCAGTGAGTACACCAGGCCGCATTTCAGGCCCACCGAACGGACAACTAGTTCGACCACCCCTTCGAGTACGACGACTACTTCTTCAACTTCGTCTTCGACGTCGACCAGCGCCCCGACTCTCGTTACGCGTGCGTCGTCCTCAACGACGCCCGTGTCTACTTCTACCGTTACGAGCATGGAGGAGGTCAAGACTCAAACCTCCGTAACGTCAACTTCTCCAAAGTTTTCGAACATCACTACCAAGGTTGCTGATAGTGATTCTGTGGTGAATAGCACGACAACTACGACGACGATGACGATGTCGACATCGACATCGCCGAGCGTTACCGTGGCTCAGATCGTCAAGGAACAAAATTTCAGCATTAACGAGATTCCCGGGCAGAACGATAGGATCGATGAGGAGTTGGAGGAACCAGAACCAGAAGTGGTAGCGTATTCAGAGAAAACGACGATCGAAGACACAACCTTGGAACCAGCTGGAACGACGAGGAGTGTCCCTACGGAATCGCTGGTTGATCAGGAAGAAGAGGAGGAGGAAGAAACGCTTGGCGCTGCTACAAAGACTACGGTACATGAAGAACTAATAATCGCAGCGAGTCATGAGCAACAGCAACAGTTCAGACCACGTCCTGAGTATCGGCCTTCGGGCATGGCTGAGACATCGACAAATACTGGAGGACAGCTTTATCAAGATGCAGCGAAGGATCAGCAGGAGCAGCCGGTGCTGAAGCTTAGAGGAGTGTGAGTAAATAATCCGTTTCGTAGTTGTGTAATAAACTGAGTTATTAAATTATTGAAATAAAAAAATAAGAACAGAAAGAATTTTTAATTAAAGCTCCTGGGTACTCGCCACGAGGAATGATGAGAAATGGCACGCAAGAATTCTCAGCGTGTCATTTTTCATCATTTCTCTGACGTTATGATCTAACAGGGCCACAGCGAGTACCTAGGAACCTTAAAGAGATGTAAAAATAAAGAATTATATAAAACTAATAACGTGAAATTTTTAGAAGAAAGGAAAAAAGGAGAAAAAACACATAAAATGCAATATATACAGAGAAGTAAAATGAAAAATATGAGAGGATTCATCGAATCATTTTGCGCAGGAACGCCTGTCCCGTCAAGGAGGAAGTGGTAGCGCCGTTTTGGGCCAATAATACTCGCGGCGAGGTCTTGGCCCTCCTCAATCTGTATCCCTTCGAGCAATATGTCCATTGGGAGAAGTGCACGTAAGTGTCGTTATTCCTGAACAAGAAATATCAATGATGGGTTCGCGATTAAAAAATTAAGAGAAAGAAGGAAACATAAATTAATACCCATAATTTAGTTTGTATCTCTCAGGTTGAGAGGTATTTAAAACAAATATCGAAACGTTTGTGTTAAATACCAGTCTTTTTCGGTGCATTATATTCTTATCTTATTATTCTTTTTTTCTTGAATCTCTAATTCTGTCGCAGACACGAGAACAAGCAAATGTATTGCCGGGATGGATGCAGATGCGAGCAGCAGTATCGGCTGCATCGGCTGTTGGCTTACGACCCCAACAACGAGTGCCGCGGCATTTTCAGCGACTGGTTCAAGTTTCCCAGCTGTTGCGTCTGCCGTTGCTATGATCTGCCATTGGAATTTCGGGTGACGTCGCGTTCGCCGCGCACCTCGCACAAACGACGAATCAAGGTGCAATCGCCAACGCGGAACCGTTACCCGTGATCCAATTGTCTTCTGGCTGGCCGGCCGCCAAATAATACACGCGCGTAAGTTGAGGGCGACCAGCTAGATAAGATCCTCTACGCGAAATTCTAACGAGTGCAGTACAAATCAGTCTTTTAATTAAAGATCCTCTTTCTATTTAATTCAGAGATTTTAGATTTATTGTTGATGTTTGATATCTCTTTTATACATGTTCACAAAAAAAAACAACATTTTCTATTTAATATGTTGAAATTATCTATACATATATAAAGTTACGTAGGCACATATTTATAGTAGAATAGATATGCGTATTTACAAATATTTATAAAGTATATTATGTATATTGTTGAAATTATTTAATTTTTCGTAATAAGTTAACAGAGTTATTCGTAAACGAAAGAATGTCCCTCCGATGTTGCTTACTTTCCAAGGAAAGTGTGATTAAATTTGATTAATAATTTGTGCTGTTCACATATGGATGGCAGATAAAAGATTTTCTTTTAGAAAATTTTCTTTGCCATATCAAACAATTTGTATAGAATTTTGTCAGTCCAACATAACGTTATTTTTAATAAGTGAAATGTACGAGATAACAAACTAGGATAATTTGTTTCTAAATTCTCGTTTAGAGAAATGTATACTACTTAATATACGTATAACGGTTTATATAAATTTAACGATCCGTATTTAATTTTATACTTGATCGTGATGGCGATATAAACTTAAACTCATTAAAACATCGTCGATTTAAGTGGTATAGGTTTTCTTGACATTATTACTACATACTTAGGACAATAACGAATAGAGGAATGCGTAAATTAAAGGGGGACAAATACCGGTGCTGCGGCGATCCAAACGCCTATTTATTTAAAATTTAAAACGCTGTAACTTTATTTTTTCAAATTTTGACTTGCAACTTTAGGAAAATATTCTTAAGATATCACACTATAAGAAAAAAGCAAAAATTGAAAAATCGATTCTTTGACCTGTCTGGATGTATGCCCCCCTTTAAAATAATTTAAGAAATAATGAAATTGTCACATTTCTTACTAGTGTTACACTAATCGATATATTTTTTCGAGAGATTTTAAGAGATTATGTATATGTATTGCGCGTACCAGCAAATATAACTTTATCATACAATATCATGCAATATATACTGTTGTAATAGGTGTTACAAGCATTACGATATATGTATTTGAACAAAAAAAAAAATATATATATATATATTATATATACTCGACATAATTGCAAACAGGTAAAGGCTCGTGAATAAAATATACGCCATTTTTATAACTGCTAATACTCTGTTTCTCTTTCCGTACTCATTATTTGCACCAGATAATATTCTCAATAATTCAGTCTGTTAATGACTAACAGAATTCGTCGGGTTCGCAACAAAAAAAAATAACGTATTTGTTTCATTATATTCGACTTTATTTTCCTCGCTCTCTTTACATGTCTCCGACAATATTGTACGTTCTTACAAGGAAGAAGATTCACAAACAGCAACGGTCCTTAAAACGTTAATACTTCTGTTATTTTTTTTCCTGTTTTGTTTTGGGCGTTTGCGTAGCGCTGAATGTAACTCAACAATAATACCGATTATTTTGTCATACATTCATTACACGGTATTACAAACGTTATACTTTTCATATCCCGTCGTAATATGTATGTACATATTATATATAATACATATACAGGATGTGTGAGTGTGTATGTGTGTGTTTCGGATCCGATCAATACGCGACCCTCTGTATGTCTACGCATATTCGCGAATATACGCGTTTACGTATATATGCATTTATGTAATAACGTTACATACGCAGAAATGTAAGTATATTTATTAATACCAGCTAAAACATATTTGGTATCAAAACCATTGCAGGAAGAAGAAAATAAAACGTCTCCGAAAAATGTCTCGTACTTTGCTCGTTGGAGCCTGCTCGTTAGAATTTAACGGTATCGTCTTAATTACTGTTACGCACTGTCGCGCATAATTAAAAGAAAGCGATTCAACCCCCTACATTCGTATGCAAATCGACGAGAAGAAAAAAATAAAACGATTGGCGATCGAATTTGCAATAAAAATCGCTCTTTTTACGCGTATATTATAAACTAGATTTGTAAAGATATTTGAAACTATTCCAATAAATTCTGATCTTCACGAACGAGGAGGGCAGATTCACTTTCTTTTTTTGTTCTTACAGATATGGAAGAGCGGAAGAGGAGCAAAGAGGAAGACGCGATTCTACATACTCTAATAACGGAAAAGACGTTTCATTTTCGGAGCGTAAGAATTGTTCGGGACAGATTGCGATATCCCGAGCACGTCCAATTCACTGTTGCACCGGCGAAATAGTTTACTTTTAACCAGATTGTCTACCCTACTTTCGTTCCGTCGTGAGAGTCTCAACGCCGCTTTCCGGCTGTGTATGTATACCCAATTCGTATAAAAAATATCTCTATTTCTTGGCACAATCGCAATCTTCGCTAACGCTTGTTACATCGTGACGCATATCATTGCACTTTGTCGATGAGCTCTAAATTGCCTACTTGTCTTATCGAGCTGCCTATTATCCGACGCTTTTTTCCCCTTATCCGCTAAGCTAGCGGTGAAGTATGTAACTGCATCACACATGTATATCAACCTCCGCGTATAAATAGAAATATCTCCTTGTCCGGATTTTTTTCCCAAAGTCATACGTGCAATGAAGACTTTCAGAAATATATCGTTTGATCAGCAATGTATATTATGCACTGTCAATTTTGAAAAATCTAATCATTGACCGTACAATAAGAAAATAAAATTGAAAGCAATATTGAAAGAAGTATGACCGTCGTACAAATCAATTTAGAAGAGAACATTTACAGTCCGAGCTGAATCACGGTAGCCTAATAAGAATATTTGCCAATTGATGCTCAAGAATAAAATGGGAGACATACTAGTAGAATCTTTTCGCACTCGCGATAATGCTGAATGGAAATACCGCACTTACACACTTGAATAAAATTTAACTTGTATTGTGTTAGCTGTATTTTTATTGGATAGGTTTTACCGTTGTTTTGTCCATCAATACTAATTTAAGTCCATTTGCCGTATACGTATCGTGACAACTTGATAAGACACTTGAGGCACTTGTAAAATAAAACGCTCGTGCGATACGAGATGTGTAAGATGTTGCATGATGAAAAGTACAAGATCGCTTACCAAGGAATTGAAAAGTGGTACAAACGGGAACGTTATTAGGCTACCAAAATCCAGCTCATTGTCAGACGTAAATGGCCGCTCTTCCAAATTGATTTATAAAATTGAAAAATTTCGAAATAAAAAATATATAAGATGCCTTTAACTGTATTGCACACTTACAGCGACAATTTTTATGAGAAAATTATAATTAATATTCGAAGTATAATAAACATGTATATTAATACATTTGTAAATTTTTTAAAATATTCTGGTTTTTCACTCTGGTTTGCCACTCTAAATGTATTATTTATCGTTGAAAAGAATTAGTTTTTTCAAGATCAACGATACAAATGCTCGTAATTCACTTTCGGAAATATGATCTTTTAAATTTTAGCACTCATTATCATGTGAAAAAGCGAAATTTCTTACATTCTTATAATATCGAATTATAATGTACAACTTGAGTTTAAGTCAATTTGTGGTATCAAGTTTTTGCAATTGCGGGTAAACCGTACCGTTAACTATACTATACGCCTGAGAAATACGCAGTGTATAGATCATCGAATAACAATTTGTTGTAAATATTAGCAGGAACGATGAGAGCCCGTCGTAACTCGACGATATGAGCAGTCGTTCGAAAAATTTCATTACGCAAGATTTCCGTCTATATTTATATAATAAGTTTGGCAAAAAATGCGACGTCTCGTCACCGAGATCCTTCATGGCAGCGTTTCTTACTTTTATTGCTATTAGCGTGTCTCGAATTTACCGATCACTGTGTTTGTTCAATCGCCAATAACGCGAGTCTGTGATACGACGATGTGCTTTACGTAGAGCGAACCGCGCTTTTCCCGTCTTATGTATCAGATTAATTGGAGCGGAATACTTTTGCAAAAAAAAAAAGTACACTGCGCAGCTAATCGACCGTACTCCGTTCCTTTCATAACTCACGATAACATTAAGAGATTAACGTATATGCACGCGAAGAGAAGCTAGACTTGACTTTCTTCTGTTTACAAAAGAGACGAAACGCGACGAAACGAACTGAAATCGTCGCAGGAAAACGTTGCAAAAATTCGGATATTTTAGACTTAGACGTTTCCTTTTACGGGATCTTCGTCGATTCTCGAGTTGTTCGCAATTTTTTTTTCTTTCTTTAACGATCTCTACCTCGAATTCGCGTCGGCGTTTCTTCTTCGCACGCAGCTAGAAAGGCATTTCAGTATCGTCTCTTATTACTTTCGCCTGCAAAAGTAATGATATATCTATATAATTACAGTATATCCTCTTCTTAACTATACGCGAGTGTCCTCGTGTCGTCGGTTCACGATTTATTTCTACGTTCAAAGACAAGCTATATGTACGTCGACGTGAGAAATGAACGCACCCTGCATATCCGATTAATAAATCGAGTTAGTGTAATCGCGAAACTCTTCGTATAAACGGGGAACAACTTCGTATAAGAATTACGAGGATGCTTAATACGTGTCTTCGGATTATGCATTGATTAATATCACACTTTAAACTACGGACAAGTATCTTTCGCTTAGCCTAAAGAAACCCGTTAACCGGCAAAACGATACATCGCTTTCGTGTCAAAACTGTAACACGTATATATATCTCTACGTTCTCCGAATATACAAAATACTGATCGAGAAATAATACTATTGAACAACATTCCTTCGTGTCCTCAAAACAGTTTTACGCCTATCAGAACTTCATCGCAATTAAATAAGAGCATTTACTTGGGCGAATGAACTTTTGAGAAAAATATCAATTACAATAGTGGATTATGAGTAAAAGTTTTACAGTTTTAAAATATTTAAAGACGTAAAAGTCTGCGATATCCAAGAGATATCATTGAGATACTTGAATACTTTTTTTTTGTGTGCAGTGTGTCCACACAACTCAAGACACAGGGCAGAGAAAAAAGAAAGTTACGTGCATCGTTTTGCTCGGGTTCACGGTCACATGTGCATACAAAGTCAATATAAACCAACTAGGATAGTTAGATTAATACGGCGA